TTCCTCTGTGTGTGTGTGTGAAAACACGTCTTGAGAATTAGAGTCGGGAGATGGATAATGGGAGGGAGTAAAGTAATTAAGGAAGTCTCCCACAGATAAACGGGGAGAGATCATTTTATTTATCTTTTTGTCTCTTATTTATATAGACATATTTATACAATTACATAAATGATGGAATAATTATGGAAATCATCCTTAATGCAGTTTAATCGTGGTGATTTGTTGTAAAATCTATATTACAATATGAATTCAAATGTGATGGTAACCACCTATTAGATGCACTTGAATGCGGTCGACCGAGGAGACCGATCGAGCGGCGATCGTGTTTGCCGAAATAAAAGGCGGTTGACTGATGCGTTGCGGTCGGGCGCCCATGTGAAAAATTTTGACGTTCCTAAATTGTATGTGTGGCCCGCCGGTTGAATCTCTCACCAAAATATGTTAGGCAGCTCCGACCGAGCTGTCGGTAATTGAATGGTCGATTTGGATCACGTTCTTATAACCCGATGTCTCGATTATCGGATAATCATCCTAAACCGATCGATTGCTTTGAGATTCACGTTCATAATTTTGGTCTACATTACTAAAATAAAATTTTCAAAAAAATAATTTAAAAAATAAATAAATATATTTCATTGTCTAAGTTGAAATTAGTTGAATAAAATAAAATCATTATTAGAAAATTATTAAATTGCATAGAATTCATTATACCTTTAAATTAACTCATATGAATTTTATTAGGAGTATTTATATACATCACTAATTTCTTATATATTTATATATTTAATACATAAACTTTAGTTTTCATAATCATACAAGCTAACTTTTTTCATTGCATTAAAAATATATTATTTTAACTTTTAAATGGTAGGCACGACGGTATATACGTAAAAATTTAAATTTTGATGTTAGATATGTAAATACCTAGGAAGTGAGTGACATTAAAGTAAATCTTTCATTTGATTTATATTAGGACTCATAAAAAGCTTTTTAAAATATATTTATGATCCCTCTCAAAATCTATGTTTATTATCTATACTTTAATTGGATTTGACACAACATCTTTATGAAGTTGTTCAACCAATCTCTTGTAGGCCAATTAATTTATTTGATAATTATACACATAAAGTATAAAACTTTTATTTGGATATATTTCTTATTTCATGTAAAACATTATTATGATTTTAATTCCCTCTTTAAATCTTTATATATATATATAT